TTCTAATTTCTAAATCTATACTTATTAGTCAACTTAAACGAGGTTTCAAATTTCAACACTGATACGCCCGATATGGGGCGTATCGTATCATATCTTTAAAAAACCGATATGAGATACAATGTAAAATTGACGGTATCGTCTTTTTTCCACCATACCAAGAAAAAGATTCAGCCAAAAACTGAAAAAAAAAATAAAGGGGGAAACAAAGCTTCTTTCCCCTAAAATAAGCTTTCTTTCCCTAAATGAATCTAAAACTCCAAACTTCATTCCTATAGTGATAGATATGCAAAAGAAGGTTTGCAAGAAATAAGCGTGAATCGTTATTTTTTTTTAAGATTTCTCAAGTTTTGAAAAAATATGTTAGTTTTTTCAAATTTTTATAATATCTTGTGATTTATTTTTTTTCTTGAATGTTTAAATCTATGTTGATCTACATTTCTTACATTCAAAATCACATTTTTTTTTGTGTTATGAGTAGACCTATGGAAATTTCATGAAGACATTTGGAGAAAACATAAATTAACAAAAAAATTTGAAAATGTATTTTTTTCTCAACCTATAAAGACTTAATATGTTTTAGATCATGGATTTATCTATCATATCCATAGAGCAATTAAAATTTCTTCTTTAATATATTTTTTATATTTATATTTTTAGAATTAAAAAATAAATAATATTAATTATATTTTATCATTTGAGCACAACGATTGAATATATTATAATTCTATGGATGAACTATCATATCCACAAAGCAATTGAAAATTTCTTTAATAATTGTTTTATTTTTACATTTTTAGAATTAAAATAAATAAAAATTAATTATATTTTATCATTTGATCACAATGATTGAATATATTATAATTCTATGGATGATCTATCATGTCAACAAAGCAATTGAAATTTCTTCTTTAGTAACTATTTTTTTTGAATATATTGTATAATGTTTATTTATTTTTTATTTTTTATAATTTTTGCAAATAAAAAATTATTAATTATATTTTCACTTAGATGTTGTGCCAATGCATGTTTTATGGTTGGATAGCGGAGTTGGGTTTTTCCCATCCCATAAAACTTAAGAATTTTAGTTTATAAATTATAATTAAGCATAGGTTTTTTAATGAACCGACCCAACCGATGAACAACCCTATTGGTCCCCTTGGTTTGGTTTTGGTCGTTTTTAGGCTTGGGCGTTTTGCTGGTTTTTCTATCTTCTTTGCAAGGCTGGTCTCAACTTGAGCCTCTTTCTTTTGTATACTTTTTGTATGCTCTGCTTTTCTTTTAAATTTTAATAAGTTATATGTTACCTATTTCAAAAAAAAAAAAAAAAGTTAAGGAGCATTCATGTCTTTCATTTGAGCATTTGTCTATAGACTATGCTATGCGAAAAGCATCCTCTCAAATGAGGTGGCAAATATATGCACGGTCTCTTTGGATGCTATTTGGAATTTTGCTTCAATGAAAATTCAAATAAAGAAATCTGAAAACCCAATACTATGCATGGTTTATGCTTCTTGATTTTATTCAATTTGAATGAAAAAAAACCAATTAGAATACTTGCTTCGACCGCTCATTTGAAGCAAATTAGAGAAAAACTATTTGAATTCCAAATGTTGGTACTTTATCTTGATTCAAATTAATGCCTTTTGCTGTTGCTTTTTGACTTTTTATCTTTTCTACTTTGTGTGTTAGTGGAGTAGCTTGAGTCCCAAATGGACTAGTCCATTTGCACACAAAATGGAGTAGCTTGCGTCTCACACGCACGCACCAGGGTGGACTGAGTAAGGTTGGGCTAACACGTGCCCGCTTGCCTGCCTATTGCGTCCTGCCATTTATGCCGTGTTGCATGCATAAGTCCAATATTTGTTTGTATTTATATAGAATTGAACTTTGGTCTTTCACAGCATGTTATTGCTCTTTTATTTTATATTTGGTTTCTGGTTTGATATCTGTTACACCATATTACTACACCTATTTTCTAACACCAAACATAAAAAATGAAAGAAAGAACTGAAAAATACCCTCTACCTATCGTTGTTTAAAGTTGTCATGGATTCTAAGATTGTTGTTTAGGAGAATACAACAAAAGCAAAGGTCGGTCCGCTCTACCCTCCTGCCAGGAGTACTCAATAGTGATGGGTGCAAGTAAAACCCCTTCCATGGCTTTTTCCTCCTCGGACACCGAGAGACCATGGAGACTTGCTTATAAAACCTAAGTGGCTAGAGAAAAGTGGATTGGGCCCACCCCTGATTTACTATTTGTTGCCAGGCTGAACCAAATGTTGCGCTCCCAACATGGTAGGTTTACCTATTGAAAATTTTAATTTATATGGTTTTATTTTGAAATTTTGAAGAAAAGTAAAAGACAAAATTGTTATTTCAGCTAAGATTAAAAGGGTATTTTCTGACTACAAAAGGATAGTTTTGATATTAAAAATCATTATATTACATGCAAGTCAATTGCAATGGTGTGTGCTAATGGCAGGGAAAGAATTTGTCAATTGTTTAGCAAACTTAGGAGTACTTTAAAGGGATTATGGTAACTTTTAATGCATTTCATAAAACTTAGGGGTAGTTTAATTATTTTATCCTTGAACTAATAACGCTTTGAATTTTATGTGAAGGGAGATCGATGTTTTTGGAATCTTTCCATGTCTATATAAGAGCCCAGATTTACTACGGATTTTTCCTATCCATTTTCTGCCCGCCGTGAATTGGAGTCACACATCTCTTAATTCAAGAAGGGGAGATTGATGCATGCATTGTTTCTTCTACATTGTTGAATTTGGCCTAGCCTTGTGAGAGATTTATCCTAGGGTTTTAGAACCCCAGACCACCTTTGAGCATCCAATACACCTTTGTTCTAGAAACATTTTGAGTGAAAAAGATCACCAAGTTCGTGATAATGACATCACCTTTGTTGTTGAAAATTTGGGAGATCAATTGAAGCTTCAAACCCAAAGTTGTGTCATTTGCAATTTGTTGCAAACTTTCTTGGGAGATTACAATTTGGGTATGAATTAATACTTCGATTTCTACCCATGTGGACATCAAATATCAGATACTACACTCATCCCTCATCCAAATATTTGATCTTGCATGGCCCAGTAGACTTAAACAATTCAAGAGTGAGATCGATTTTCTCGTATTATGCAATTTTAACACAAGAGTTTGTGAAATTTTTGCATATAATGATCCTTTTTCATGAATTGCTATAACCCTTCCTATGTCGTTAATGGGAGTGTGGTGAGGATTGAATGCCATGGAGTTAAAAGTCGGTTCATGCATATGCAATGGACGTACTATGTGATATTTTGTTAAGAGGCTTAAAACAATAATATGATTCCCATTGCATCTTGTTCTATGAGTTTGAAATTGATTGCACTAGTGTTGCTGTGCCATTGTCTTATCACACTGCTAGTGGAAGGAAGGCAATGACTAATCGCATGGTCTTATAAGGAGCCTTATGGATTTTTTTACTAATTTCACATTAATTGTACACCTGCCTTAATTGTAAAACCAAACTTAAAACATCTAATCCTACAAATATCCTCCTCATAATGTTATAATTACAAAATTACCTTTTAATTATTTGCATTCAAAAGTAAGAATGGCAATTTTCCCAATAAAATCACAGCCCTGCCTCGCCCCAAATGGGGTGGGTTTTCCCTAACATTAAACCAGGGACAGGACACGAATGGGGTTTGGATATAATTCCTTGAGCCCACTCGGAACCTAATGGTAAATTATTAAAATTTTTTCAAGTTTAATATTAATTTCTAAAATATCTATGAATTTTTCCCAGATTCTTAAAATCTCTAAAATCCCATAATCCTATTTTTAAAATACCCCAAATTCTCAAAATTCTATTTCTAAAATATCCTCAAATTTAATGTAATTTTAGATGATTGCCTGGCGGATGAGAAAGATTCTCGTCCATGATGGGAGGGGTGCTTGCCCTAAACCCGCCCCACCATAAGGGAACAGAGTGGGAGAAGATAAGGGATTTTGGATATGGGGCAGAGATGGCTAGGGGGTGCCCCGCCCCATTGCCTTTCCTATTCAGAAGTGATTGTCTAGTTTTGCTGTGTTCTACATGAGTGCCTCTTACTAGGGGTGTTCACGGGTTTAGGTGCATTGATTTGAGTCATTTTGTTCAACCAACTTGACCTAGTTGGTTTACTTATTAACTAAATTGAAACCAATCGACCTTAAAGCAAAACCGACCCAAACATGAAAGGTTGGTTTATTATTTTAGTCGCTTTATATATATATTTTTAGGGAAAATTCCTGATTAGTACCCTACACTTTGGCTTGAGTGACCATTTGGTCCCCAAACTTTAAAATGTGACAATTCAATACCCGAACTTTCAAAATGTGACAATCTAGTACCTACTGTTAACCAGTCCGACATTTGAAAAGTCAAAAATGCCATCTAATTCTCTTTATCAACCATCTAAACATTGGCAATAAAATGAATAGTCCCAAATTCTAGATTCTTCTAAACAATCACCAATTTTTTTAAATAAAAGAAGCTAGGGTTTGGGACTGTTTAGTTTTTTGTCAACTTTTAGATGGTTAATAAAGAGAATTAAATGGCATTTAAAGGATATTTTTGACTTTTCAAATGTCACTTAATGACTGATTAATGGATTGGTTAACGATAAGTATTGAATTGTCATATTTTGAAAGTTCAGATACTATATTGTTACATTTTGAAAGTACAGGTATTGGATTGTTGCATTTTAAAATTCATGGACCAAATTATCATTTGAACCAAAGTATAGGATACTCATTAGCAATTTTCTCTATTTTTTAAACTGAAATATCTATTAATATATATATATGGAATGGTGGTTTCTCCTTACGGGAAACGGAATCTACTCGTGCAAATAGATTTCGCGTCTCACGTGCAAATATTTCATGCGTGTATCAATTGCAAATATTTCATCCGAACTATGAAATCTAGAATTTGGGAGTAGATCAAGAGTCCCACGTGAGATCAAGGTCATTTTTAAATCACAATCTCTCTCTCCCTCCTCTGGCCGAGAGCTAAGGGAAATCTTGCGTTTTCCCCTCCAGCGCTGCCATTTTACCTTGTCGTTTTTTCCTCCAGTGAGGGAGAACGAAGGAGACCCTGTCATTTTTCCCTCAACTCTATCTCTCCATCTACTCACTCTGACCAAGAATGAGAGCTAACGAAACCCTACTGTTTTGCCCTCAACTCTGTATCTCCTTCTACTCTAACCGAGAACAAGAGGTAAGGAAACCCTATTGTTTTTCCCTCCGGCGAAGAAAAGCGAAGGAGACCCTGTTGTTTTCCCCTCGGAGAGTATGGATTTCTGCTCCTATAGTGCTCTTTTACCTTCCTTCTTCTACAAGATGGATTTGTGTACTTTCAGTGCTCAACCGTGTTACCCCGAAACTTTACCACACTACCCCCTTCTCTCTTCTTCTCCTACACTTCTTGTAGTTCATACCAGCTGAGTTGATAGTGTTGTCTGCTTCGTCAGATTACCGGCGACCGTTTAGGAGATTACATCGGTAAGTAATCAATCTCCTTTTTTCCCTCAACTCTGTATCTCCTTCTACTCTTAACTGAGAATGAAGGTAAGGAACCCCTATTATTTTTCCCTCCGGTGAAGGAGAGCGAAAGAGACCCTGCTGTTTTCCCCTCGGACAGTATGGATTTTTGCTCCTAAAGTGATCTTTTCTCTTGTTCGATCTTTGCAACCCTCTTTTGCCCCCTCCCTCTTCTTCTCGGTCCCAAAGTCCCAAACCCTACCTTCTTCTACAAAATGGATTTGTCTTCGTTCGATGCTCAACCGTGTTACCCCGAAATTCTATCACCCTACCCCCTTCTCTCTTCTTCTCCTACACTTCTTGTAATTCATACCAGCTGAGCTGATAGTGTTGTCTGCTTCATCGAATTACCGGCGACTGTTTAGAAGATTACATCAATAAGTAATCAATCTGGCATTCGTTCAAGAAATTAAGTGGGTAAGTAATCAATCCCTTAATCTTTTAGTTGTAATTAATTACAACATAATGAATTTTAATTAATCATACCTATTAATTATATTTTGCAAGGTGGACACGTGTATTGCTGGTCGTCGCTTCATACGAAACCTACCGTCAGTTGTTCAGTTTGATATTTATTTATTTGCACTTTTTTGAATGTCGAAAATAATTATATTTTTTAGCTATCGATTTGGTTTACCGAGCACATCAAGTGTGTAATAAGTGTCATTCTCACTCTTCCTAACCTCTTCATATTTCTTAAAATTTTTTATTTTTATATTCTCTTCCCCAAATCACTTTCTATATATTCATTACATCCTGCACATAGACTTCCTGGTTCGCCCTTCTAGCATAACCATCTCTTTGCTACTGTCTTGCCTCCTCATTCCCTTCTTCTTTGAGTTTTGTTTTGATTTTGCTTTTTCTTAATCAGTTTGTTCCTAATGTTTCTGTTTTCCTTTATCGAAACCTTTAGTCATGCAATTTTCCTTATAACTCTAAACATACCGAATTCCTTGTGTTTTTTAAATATTGCTGTTCATTTATGAATGTTACCCATTTGGAGCGCAGAGTGGTTATGGTCCAACTGATTATTCAGCTTTATCAACAAGACCAAATACAAATTTCCTTACTGATGCCTGGTGGGACAACCCCCAGCCAAGAACCACAACACCAGGTGGGTCCTCAGGAAGACTTTTATTGACCACTCTTTAGGAGAATCATAGCTATTTATGAATGTTAATTTTGTTTTTCTTTTTGTTGAAATTGGTTGGTTTATCCATTAGATCTAACTAATGATTTGATTTAATTTTCAATTTTGCAGATGCACAAAGTTGAACATGGACTACATCATGTATTACTTAAATTTAGTCATTAGTCCTCTATGTATTTGTGAACAAGCAACATTTTTAGCCTTCTTTTTTGTTTATTTAAAATCTTTTTTCTTACTATTTTCTCAGTCTTTTTTTTTTATTTTTTATTTTAAGTAGTTAGGTTTTATTTTCTAATTCACCATTTTTCCATTTCTTGAACTCAATGTATAGAGAATTTGCTTGGAGGAAGCAAGTAAAACTCAAAGTATTGACAAATTTATGCTACATCACTTCTGAAGATTGTATTGGTACAAATTTTATTTCCTACCTTCCAGTTTATTCAATAAAAGTCAGGAGTTGCATCTATGTTTCATGGGATATTTCTTGCCCAGTTGATGCTCATTCTAACACCCATTTGATGTTTTGTCCTCATACTTTGAATATGTGCGATAGGCCTCCTTTATATGACACATTTATATTATTCAAATCGGATTATTTTATAATATATTAATTTAATGTATAAATTTATATATGATAATTTCAATTTTTATGTTTATATTAATGAATGATAAATAAGTTAAAAGGTAATTATTTTTTTTTTATTTTAAAAAGTATGAAGTAGAATCTGATTAAATCCAATCCAATATAATCCAAGATCTTTACAATCTGTTGTCATAAGCCCCTACCTACGAAGCAGCCCCCGCTAGTGCAAAATTGAAATTTTTTTGTTAAAATACAAAATTAAATTAAATATTGTATCATTGATTATATTTGTATTGGTTTTTTGTTTTTAGTTTTTAACATAAATAACCACTTTTTTTTTTTAAAGTTCAAACAAAATACAAATAAAATATATCAATATTTAATATATAGGATAGGGATTAATTAGTAATTACTTAAATACACAGGATTGGTTCAATTCGGTTTTGGTTTTTATATACCAAAACTGAACCCAGGTATGGGGTGTTTTTTTTTCTTTCACACAAATCGAAACTTACCAACTCGGGTTGGATCGGGCCAGTTTGGTTAATTTGACATTTAAGCTACATTTGAATCGGGCCAGTTCTAGTTCAGTTTTACGTGCATTTAGATGGAGTGTAGTTATACGTCAATAATATATATAAAACCGCATCACCTTATATATACGGTTCAGTGTAGCTCTTCCAAACGCAGCCTTAATGTGAACACAACTAAGTCCAAGTGTTATTTTCTTAATTAAAATGAATCTCTCAGCTTTGTTCTCGTACAAATCGGCCATGTAGAACATCTTTCATGGGTTTGGCCTTTGGCGTTTTCGACGGTTGCTGTCCCCTTCCTAAAAAAGGGCTAATAAAAGCTTGAATTGACAGAACTCCGCAAATCCAAATGCCATCGTCTTCCTCTTTTCCCCCTTTGCGCGACAAATTTTTGGTCGTCGAAACCTGCATTGTCCGGCGGCCAGATCGGCTTTCAACCCACACTGAGAAATCTGCCGTTGACGCCACCCATCAAGGATTTTAACGTGCCCAGTTCGAGTCACATTCACATTGTTAAAAGGATCTCCCACGAGAAGCTGAAATTTCAATTCCGATTGGTGGATGTTGTCACCAACCCACAAGCGCATGGTGGAAGTTGAGGCAGACATTCACTGTGGAGGAGACACAGGGACCAGACTACATTGTTATCTGAGGAGAATCAACCCAGGTGAAGAGATATTGGGCTTGAATAGGAATGTCCGAAGCCAATTTTGGTTAAGGTGGTGATCACGGCAAGATTGCCTGTTGGATCAGCAATGGAACGATGACATTGAGGTCTCCTCGTCTCCTTTCGATAGTTAATCGATGGGGAACTGTTTAACCTCCGAAGGGAAACGACCTAGGAAGAAGCCAGGTATCAGATTTATAGAAATTGCTTTCCAATTTTTTATTGTTCTTTCATGATTATGTGATGAGTGTGTATGGTATTACTTTAATAATCCTGGGAAAAAGATGGACAGCTTATCGCTAACATGCGCACCTGGGATATAGGAATTTAACTTTCACCCGCGTTAATGTTGGGTCAGCATGTCCAAACCCTCAGTTAAAGCTTTCCTTGCGTTGTGTTTGGATAAGCCTCGGGATTTGTGCAGCAAGAGTCCAAAACCACGAAGCCCCAGTTTTAGAGCCGTTTGGGAGGGTTTATGCGTATTAAACTGGGTTGACCGAGCCAGTGAGCCGCTTCTTATAAGTCAGGGAAAGTCGTTTTTTGGACTCATGCAAACCTACTTTCGACTCTCTTGATTTTTAACAGACGAGGCTTCATGGCTCATGCAATCCCAAACGGGCAAAAGTGTTTTGGTATCATATTATAATGTTGCCAGCAATTCTTACCAAACATTCAAAATACTTTTTGGCTCAATTTGTTTTTTTGAAGCTCAAAAAGAAAGGGTTATCCAAATAGAGCCTTAGTTTCAAAAATCAGCTTTTCTGTTAGAAGTCAAAATTAACTGGCCCAAGGCCAAGATGTTAGAAATTGACCACGTTGATGAATTAAGCCCGAAATCTGCATCACATGGTGTTGAAGTTATACTGTAATGTGGGGAAATTTGTAAAATAAATTCCACTGTTAGAGGATGTTTCTGTTTTAGTAAGAGTTCCAACTTCCAAGTTTCAACAACCTAGGGCAAGCATAGGATTAACTAGTTTTGCCAATGCTGTCACTGAGTAATGTAAATGCAATGCTCTTACTGTTAGAAGTTTTAATCATCCATGGCCAAGGAAAAACTGACATCAAACCTGCAACATTTCTTTCATGTATAAAATTTCAGTTGAGATACCCCAGCCCACAGCTATATCTTCAGTCAAACCGAACAAACCAGTAGCTTTTACAATCCAAAATCTCCGCCAGACCCCTGGATGTCGTAATGTTTACATCTTTACATATGATGAGATGAGAATGGCTACCAAGAACTTCAGGTCAGATCAGATTCTTGGTCAGGGCGGATTTGGGATGGTGTACAACGGAGTTTTAGATGAGAATGTCAGACCAGGTTACCAGACCACACAAGTTGCAATTAAGAAGCTTAATCCAGAAGGATTCCAAGGCGACAGAGAATGGCTGGTATTTGTTCTTCTCCATCTTTACTTTCATATCTTATATTTAATTCTCCTTTAGTGTATGAATCAACTTTATGGTGATAAATAATGATGAGATACCTATAGAATAAGATTGGGGGTCTTTGTGTATAAGTTTGTAAGATTTATTGGAACAGAAAATATGGTGAAACATGTTTTAATGAATCTCCTTACTGATGTCATTGCAAGTGTATTTGGGCTGGGGGGATAATATAAGATTACTGATGTCTAGGTGACAATGCACTATGCAACTGCAACATATATGTGTGTAGATGTGTCCCCCTCCCTCCACCCCGTCATGTAAAATTAATGAACCATATCACTAGTATTAGTATGCAACATGTAAATATTGTTTAACGCCATACCATGAAACTTTGTATTTTTTTTTTCTTCATTAAGATTGCTTTTTGATATTTCTTAAAGAAAAGGAGTTAATTTGTCTCATTTGTTTTTTCTTTTTTCTCTAAAAAGATGGGTGTTTCTCTATATTGATAAAAAATGGGGTTTTCTTTCTTTTTCAACATAAAACGAATTTTCTTTCTCTATAATAAAAGGATTCTTTTGTGTTCAAAGAGGGGAAGATCTCATATAGGATTTTCTTTTAGTTTTGTCAAATGACCTTGTTAAATTGTACATGAGAAGACTTACAGTAAATGGAGTGGATGTGTTGCATCATATCAAGAAACAGAACACCATGAGGCCGAAGAAAAGTTTACTCATAGGAGCGAGTAAAGACACATTGTGAATTGAGTCCCGTGAAACAGAGCTGATTTTGCCTTGTGAGGCCATACTAATTCGACTTTGTCAGTCATCTTGCGAGGGTAAAATTATTCTTACCACGCAAGACTATATTAACTTCGCCTCATGGGACCACACCAATTCGGCCTCGCAAGGCACTCAGAATTAAGATAGATTTTCCTTGTGAGGTAGATTAATCTCTGATCGATCAAACACTGCAAGGCTAGAACAAGTAGTGTGGTAGGAGTCATGTTGAGAGTGTCAGGCACGTGACTATTGCCCCAGGGAAACCACAACCAGCTGTACTTGAGTGTTGTACTGACACGCGTTGCTCTCTGAGAAGGCTCAAGATCATGCTCTAACAACCTTGTGGTCCTAAAGGACACATGTTCTAAGGGGAGAAATAGACAAGATTTGTTCCTAGATACCACATGAGCTGGTGAATTTCTAAGCTCTTGCTTCATGCAATGTAACCTATCTCCTTATTTCTATAAATAGGGAGACCATCCTCTTTGAGGGGGATCCAATCTCATTCTATTTACCAGCTAAGTCTTGTTCCATCCCCCTTGGTGACATCTTCCTTTCTGCTTTCAAGACTCTAAGTCATCGTTATACCTATTGGCTTACATCAAGAAGATATTATTAGGGGGTGGAGAGTAGGGAGGAACTGGATCCTAGTCACCCGTCTTCAGTTTGCAGATGACCTCATGATCTTTTGTGAAGGGGGTATTAGCGAGAAGGTAGCAAACCTCAAGGAGATAATCAAAGGATTCAAAAGAATCTCCAATCTAAAAATAAATTTGGAAAAGAGTTGCATAGTGGGTATCAACTTGGAGCATGGGGAGTTTGAGGCTATTGCAGAGTGTCTTGAGTGTTCCATCTCTTCTTGGCCTATGTCCTACTTAAGGCTTCCATTAGGGGCAAAAATCCTAGGGAGAGAAAATTCTAGAATCCAATGCTAGAAAAGTTTGAGAAGAGTATATCTTTAGGATACCACATAGGGAAGCTAGGAAGTTAGAGAAGTTAATGAGAGGTTTCCTGTGGGAACCAGGACAAGGAAAAAGGGTCATTTAATTAAGTGGGAAACTGTGTGTAGAGGTAAAGAAGAGGGGGACATGGGAATAGGGAGGGTGGTTGAAAAACATCAAGCTTTGGTAGGAAAGTGGCTATAGCAATGTTCATTAGAAAGCGAGAGGTTTTGGCATGAAGTGGTCATAAGCATTCATAGGAGTTTGACAAGTGGGTGGGGTGTTGGTGTTTCAAGGCAAGCTAACTTGGCAGCACCTTGGAAGGCCATTCACAACACTCTTCCTCATTTTCTTAGGTGTGACAGGTATGAAGTTTGCTTTGGTGATGCTGTCCGGTTTTGGGAAGATATTTGGATTGGAAACACCCCTCGAAAGGACCTTTTCCCTTCGTTATTTTCTGATTCATTGTATAAAAAAGAGGTGGTCTCAAAATTTGTCTC